GGCATCTGAGGTATGGCCATCTAAATTTTGGAGGTCTGAAATTGCTCGGTCAGAAGAATATGGTGCATGGTCTGCCAGTGATCAATCATCCAGACCAATTGTGTGAAGGTTGCTTAGTTGGAAAGCAATTCAGGGCAAGTTTCCCGAAGGAGTCCCTGTCAAGAGCTAAAGCACCACTGGAGCTCGTCCATACAAATCTATGTGGACCGATCACCCCAGCCCCTGTCATTGATGACTACAGCAGAAAGACATGGGTGTACTTCTTAAAGCAGAAGTCAGACACATTTGAAGCTTTCAAGAAGTTCAAGATAATGGTGGAGAATGAAAGTGGCCGCTACATCAAAGCCATGAGATCAGATAGAGGTGGAGAATTTATGCTCAAGAAGTTCAGAAGGTTTTGTGAATATCAAGGAATTCGCAGGTTTCTCACAGTCCCAAGATCCCCACAGCAAAATGGAGTTGTTGAGAGGAAGAACAGAACTGTCCTCAACATGGCGAGAAGCATGATGAAGAGCAAGAACCTGCCAAAGGAGCTATGGGCTGAAGCTGTTGATTGTGCAGTCTACCTGCTGAATAGGTCACCAACAAAGAGTGTTTGGAATCAAACACCCCAAGAAGCATGGAGCGGAAGGAAACCCACAATCTCTCACCTCCGAGTCTTCGGAAGTGTCGGATATGTGAACGTACCAGATCAAGAAAGGAAGAAGTTGGATGACAAAAGCAAGAAGTACATATTCCTGGGATACTCAGAACACTCAAAAGGTTACAAAATGTTTGATCCCGTGGAAGAGAAGTTGATCATCAGCAGAGACGTGGTGGTTGATGAAAAGGCAACATGGGATTGGACAACTGAAGCAAAGAAGAATTACACTTTTTATCCATTCACTATGGATGAAAGTGATGACGAACCAGATACAACTACACCTGTGACGAGTCCACCCATTCACAGAGAACCTACCAGCCTAGAAGGAGAGTCAAGTGAAAGTCCAAAAGAGAGGCCACAGAAGTATAGAAGACTTGAAGAAATTTATGAGGAAATGACAACCATTGAAGGTGATGAATTGACACTCTACTGTCATTTCATTGATGATGAACCAGTGGATGCTGAAGAAGCCATGAAGGATGAAAAATGGAAGAAAGCTATGGATGAAGAAATTGGAGCAATTGTGAAGAACAAGACTTGGGAGCTTGTTTCGCTACCTGAGAACCAGAAGCCCATCGTTGTGAAGTGGGTATTCAAGGCCAAGAAGAATGCAAAAGGAGAAGTTGTCAGGCACAAGGCAAGATTAGTGGCAAAAGGGTATAGTCAGAGACCAGGCATTGACTATAATGAAGTTTTTGCTCCCGTGGCGAGAATGGAAAGTATCAGGATGGTGATATCTCTCGCTGCTCAAAATGGATGGAAGATACACCAGATGGATGTGAAGTCAGCTTTTCTCAATGGATATCTCGAGGAAGATATTTATATTGAGCAACCCCTGGATATGTCATTGAAGGCCAAGAAGACAAGGTATTGAAGCTGAAGAAAGCATTATATGGTCTAAAACAAGCACCAAGAGCTTGGAATAGCAGGATTAACAAGTACTTTCAGCAGAATGGATTCAGTAAATGTCCACATGAGCATGCACTATACTGCAAGGTGCAAGGGGGAGCAATCCTGATGGTTTGTCTATATGTAGACGACCTCGTCTTCACAGGCAATGATCCTCAAATGTTTGAAGAGTTCAAGAAGACAATGGTTCGTGAGTTCGAGATGACATACATCGGACTAATGTCATACTATCTCGGTATTGAAGTAACTCAAAAGGAGGAAGGAATTTTTATCTCACAGAGTGGTTTCGCAAAGGATGTCCTGAAGAAGTTTAAGATGGAAAGCTGTAATCCTGTGAGCACACCAGCAGAGTGCGGACTTAAGTTATCTAAGGATGATAAAGGAGAGAAGGTAAACTCAACGGAGTTTAGAAGCCTAGTGGGAAGTCTGAGATACCTAACTTGTACCAGACCAGATATTCTCTACGCAGTTGGATTAGTCAGCAGATACATGGAGGCACCAACTATGTCACACTGGAACGCTGCCAAGAGGATATTACGCTACATCAAAGGTACAATTGATCATGGTTTACTTTATACCAAGTCAGAAAATTTCAAATTGGTTGGATACTGCGATAGTGATTGGGCAGGAGACGTGGATGATCGCAAAAGCACTACAGGATTTGTATTTTTCCTGGGAGATACAGCTTTCACATGGAGTTCAAAGAAGCAAGCTATTGTGACGCTATCTACTTGTGAAGCTGAGTAAGTTGCTGCGACATCGTGTGCGTGTCATGCGATATGGTTGAGAAAGTTGTTGAAGGAGTTGAACATGATACAGGAAGAGTCAACTGAAATTTATGTGGATAACAAGTCTGCCCTGGCGTTAGCAAAGAATCCGGTGTTTCATGATCGCAGTAAGCACATTGATACGAGATATCATTTCTTAAGAGAATGTGTGGAGCAAAAAGAAGTGACGCTGAAATATGTGAAAACAGAAGACCAGATTGCTGATATTTTCACGAAGCCGCTGAAGCAAGATGTGTTCGTCAAAATGAGGACGCTACTCGGAGTTACGATTAATTAAACTTTAAGGGGGAGTGTTGAAAATAAAGTTTAATAATAAAATAATAAAAATATCAGAAACCCCTAGATACTAGTATACGTGTGATGTCTGTAGAATTGTGTAGAAAGTAGGTTGGTTGCATGAAAGAATTCCAACCACAAATCAAAGGCGGTTCTAACTGCCCAAATTAAATGAGTGCAGATTTTTTGGGGAGTTTCAAGCCTATAAATAGGCTGGCTTGTACGTTGGTGTAATGCAGAACCAAGAAATAAGAAAGAAAGAGGCCAATAAAAGTAGCTCTCTTTTCAAACTCCCTCTGCAGCCTACTATCCTCCCAATTCCATTTCCAAATTAAAACCCCAAAGCCTTCCTTTACTTTAAAACAATACGTGCCCACCAATAAAAGAAAAAAAAACCCCACCAATAGTTTTCAATCAAAAGGAAATAAATTCATTTTATTTCCAACATTGGGTACTTCAATCGAAATTTGAATCTTCAAGCTTGGGTTTTAATGTTTCCCGCTTATGCATTTGGTTCCAATGGTTTTCTAAGAACAGAGAACAGAGCTGGCGATGGGGAAGAAGGGGAAGAATGATGGTTAGGATTCCAATGGGTGGCCATAATTTAATTTGGGTTTGATTTTTTCATTATTTTATTATTTTGTTAATTACATAAAGGAAATAATAAAATATTTTGAATTTTTTCTGGATTGGTGCTCACATGGCAGTGAGTTGGATAGTTGACTAACGGTCAACACCACTGACCGTCCAAATAGACGGTTAAACCACGCGTCGGGCCAATTGAGTCTATATGCTACATAATTGAGGCCAAGATGTTAATTTATGAAACCATGGGCCAAAGTTGATTATATGCTCATAATTCGGGCCAGAATAAGGTATTAACCCTATTACAAACTCCCTCCTCCTTCTCTGATCCAAAAAACACAGCAGACAACTCTACGAGACCTCACTACTTCCTTTCTTTTTCTTCTCACTCACAGACCCACTATACACACAACATAAAATAAAGAGCTACCTTCTCTTCCAAACACGCAAACAGAAAAAACAAGGAGAAGAGAGAGAGAGAAACAAGAACTCTGCAAATTCCCTAGTCTTAACCCCAACAACACCATCACAACGAAAAAAACACAGCAAAACATAGAAACGACGCCATACCGCATCCTGTTCTTTTTACCAAGCATCAACAACAAAAAAGAAAAAGACAACAACAAGCAAACAACAGAAAGGCAACGCCAACAGCAAGAACGACTAAGAGCTTGAAGGTAGAACCATCCTAAATCTTCAAAGTATTGAAGGTTGGTCATTATCGGATTCGACCACCACTATCATTCATCACCATTCTCATTTTCACCTATACTTCTACCTTTCTTTAAACAAGTGATTCTAAAAGATAGAAACCAATTCATCCCAAGCATGTCTCTTTCGTATTCTGGCAAAAAAAAAAAACAGATATCTATTTATTTTCTTGCTTTAGTGTTAAAACGTCTATTATATATGCTATTTGTGGTTTATTTACAAACATATCATATATGAGACAGAACCTCCTCATGTTGACTTTGTCTTTGATTTAATTTTGATTTAATTTAGGGTAATGTCTATTTTTTATTCAAACACTTTTCAGATTCTTTTATATTATTCAAACCTATTAAAATACTATTAATTAGTCAAATCTTTCGTAATGCATCAAAATATTAGCCATTTTTACGTTATCGTTAATAATTTTGTAACTCTATTCTTAGTTAAAATACCAAAATTTTGGAATGTTGACATTCATGTGTCTATTCTAAGTCAGTATCATGTTGCCAAGTTAATATTACTAACAAAATTGCTAACTAGAAGTTAACATTTGGCTAATTCTTAGTATTTGATAGGTTTGGCTAATAAAAAAAAATCCGAAAAAGATTTGGCTAATAAATAGACATTAGCCTTTAATTTATGCTAAAGTACCACAATCAAACTAAAATCCACTCTCTAGGCTAGCAAAACAGTATCGATATGTCAAAATTAAACAAGCTATCACATCCAAATTTAGGCCAAAAAACTCGACAAAAACTAAACTCAAAAACTAAACTCAACAAATTTACTACCATGTTTTCCCAAATTATAGTCCCAAACCAACCCAAAGTCCAAACCATACACCTCCAACATAAACACCACACATTTTCCAGTTTCAAAAACATCACAGATTTACAAAACTCCAAATTAACCCCAAAATTAACCATTCGAAACTCCCTCCAATCAAATGATGAAGTATGAGCTTTTCAAACCATAAACCCCAAAACCCAGAAACATGACCCTAAATACCTGTCCAAAACTCAAATCAATCACACTATTAACACCAACATACACAAAATTCCACATTCAATTACCACAAAACACAATCTTCAGACTTTGTCCACCACAATCCAATTTCCGAATTCATAACTCATCAAACACAATTTCCTCAATTCATAGCCGAAATCCGACCTAAGACCCCAAACAAATAGCCATCAATCATCAAATCCCAAACTACCAAAACCATAGAAAACCAGAACTCCTCACCTTTCTGTCACGCCAGGCGCCGGCGACACTGCCAGTTCTTGCCGGCGGTGACTTTTCTTTTTCCCCAGTAGCTCTTTCTTTCTCCTCCATGGTTCCTTTTCACCCCGTTTTCTCCCTTTTATCAAAGCTAAAAAAAACCAGAAAAATTAATCTGTTAGAACCTTGAAAATACCCCAAAACCCGAAATGAAATTGGAAAATCCTTAATAAAAAACGACATGCAAACCCCAAATGAAACTATTATCTTTGCCGGTGTTTGATCGTCATCACTGGTGTCCACCACCGTCGTTTCTCCCATGCCGTTGTCGTTTTGCTTCTCTTCCTTGCTCCTCGTGTTTCACTAGAAACGAACGGAGAAGGAGATGGTCGATCGAAATACGAAAAGAAGTGAGAAGGAGAGAGGCGGCGATTTGGGTCGATTTAGAGGAAAGCTAGGGTTCATTTTTGTTCGTTTTTTGGAGGAGACTGGAGAGACGAACAGATCGAGAGAGAGAGAGAGAGAGAGAGAGAGAGGAAGAAATTTGCGGATGGCTAGTTTAGAAGGGGTTTAAGGTTAATTTTTGGGTTAATACCTTAGTTTAGCCCGAACTATACACATACTTTCTACTTTGGCCCGAATTATTGAATATTGCTACTATGGCCTGAACTATGTAGCAAACTTCCTCATTTGGCTTGGAGACGGGTTTGACCGTCAAAACAGACGGTCAACCCTGTTGACCATTAGTCAATGTACACGTCACCTGCCACGTCGACATAAAAAATTATTTTTTTCCTTTTACAAAAAAAAAATTAAAAAATTAAAAAATAAACGAAAAATAAAAGTAAAAAAAGCCACAGCCACCCAACCCTATCTTCCCGCATCGACCGGTTGCCGCTCCATAGCCATCTTGCCACAAGCAATCTTCTCCCCGCGCGGTTACGAATATGTACTCGTACCCGACCTTCTCGGGCCGAAACCCCTCCATGTGGGGAAAACTCGTGATCGGAGGCAGCCAGATCCGATCACCTGTGAGAGGGTTCAGCAGCAGCAACAATGGGCCCCTCTGCAACATGAACAGCCAGCCGAAGCTCGAACCGCGGCAGCAAGTGGGCGTTCTCCTGCTGTTTATGAAACCTTCCGGCATCTCGACCTCGATGTGGAGGAACCGCTGTTCCGTCACATCGAAGAAGCACCTGCAGCTATCAGTACCTTTGCATCCCGCCATGGCCTCCGAGCTGCGGACCATGTTGCTGCTGCGGCAATAGGGAAGCATCAGCCATGGGACCGATTGGGTAAAATTGCGCGGCTTCTGCTTATCCTCCACCGCTAGGGATTGTCTCCAAGGCTTGCAAACAACTTGGAATCGGCTGAAATCCTTCAATTAGATTAGAAATCGATGAGCGATGATACCCAGAATCTCGCCCCGCAAAACCGACCAATCGGGTTTGGGGATGTCGTCGTCGTCGCTCATGTTCGAAGGTAGGGATGGATGGATGGAGCGTCGCTCATGGCCGCCGCTGCATTTGCCGGAGAATCGAAGAGAATTCGTCGGGGAAGGGAGTTGGGGGAAGACGATGGGTCTGAAAGAGGAGATAATTTCCCGATAAAATCCGATGCGAGAAGATAGGGTTGGGTGGCTGTGGCTGTTTTTACTTTTATTTTTCGTTCTTTTTTTTTTATTTTTTTACAATTATTATTATTTTTTTGTAAAAAGAAAAAATAATAATTTTTTATGTCGACGTGGCAGGTGACGTGTACATTGACTAACGGTCAACAGGGTTGACCGTCTGTTTTGACGGTCAAACCCGCCTCCAGGCCAAATGAGGATGTTTGCTACATAGTTCAGGCCATAGTAGCAATATTCAATAATTCGGGCCAAAGTAGAAAGTATGTGTATAGTTCGGGCCAAACTAAGGTATTAACCCTTAATTTTTTGCTATAAAAAATAAAAACTCAAAGCAACACTTACCACTAGGCGTTAATATATATAAAAGTGAAGTAAGGTTTTTTTTTATAGTAAGACACTCCTTTTCATTAAATGGATAAGGAAGCAAAAAGGTTACAAGAGAGGTGCCACAATATATAAGGGGTCGTATGGAAGTTGCGATTGTTTTGTTGAGATTGTCATTATGCATGTATTGTTTACAATGCATCGTTTTTTGTCATTATGATGTGACAGAAACTATCACTCATTTTGAGTGATTGTTATATCTCAATTTTTAGTTGAGATTGTTGAGATAGTTGAGTTGAGATTGTTTTGTCTCAGCTTTTAGCTTATGCGACATACACAATCACACATACCAAACGTTGTATTCTACAATGCATAAAATTCGACAATACATGTATAATATTATACATGCATTCTCAACAATACATCTATTTAACAATCGCAACTTCCAAACGACCCCTAAAATATTAATCCAATCCTGGGGCAAACAACTCCTTGCACAGGAGCGTGCAACCCAGTCTGCTTTTGTATTGAGCCTTCGACTAATGAACTCGACACGTATCCGATGGACAGACGAAATCATCTGTCAAATGGTCTTGATCGCTGTCGCGACACGCCATGGCCAAGGACCTGGACTTCCTTGGACTGCACGCACCAGACTAAGACAGTCAGACCTGACCAGGCATGGTGATTCAAGAAAGATCGCGCTTCGAGCACCTTCCAAGAGGGCCTTTGCTTCCGCTTCAATCGATGAAAAACAGTGTAAGGGCTCAGCCTTCCCGTTACACACTTGACCATGGCAGTTTGAAATGACAACGCCATATGCCGCCTCCTGGGAATCGTGTAGGAACGATCCATCACAGTGTATCTCAAAATCATGAGTACCTGACGGTGGTGTAGAGTGATCCGGGGCTGGATTAGGCTGAGGTAGAGGCTGGTGGGGTCTCCTCAAACGTGGGCATGACATCCAAAGGTTGAAACTTGATAGAGCCTGCGAGGTTGTATCTGGTGGCCAAATATGCTTATTCCTGAAAATGAATTCATTTCTTGCCTTCCAAGAATGCCACATCTGGTAAATGATGTGCTGGATGGAGGAGATGGAATACCTTTGCTTGAGGGAGTGAATCCAAAACAGAATATCAGTGCTTTGTTGAGGAAGCATAAGGAAGGGCCAACCCTACCTCCATCCTTCTGCTGCATGGGGGCATTCAAATAGACAGTGATGGATGGATTCAACACTTGTGTTACATATGGGGCAGAGGTTTGATAGTGCACACTTTCGCAGATGGAGCTTCTCTTTCGTAGCCATTGCTCCCCTGCTGCATTTCCAAATAAAGAACTTCATCTTTGGAGGTAGCGAAATACTCCAAAGCCACTTCCATCGTTCCTTGGTGCAGGGTGGCGGATCATGGAAGTCTCCCTGTGATCTGCGTCTTTGATTGTGGAAAGAATGGAATGCTGACTTAACCGTGAAGTCTCCCAGCTCTGTGAATCTCCAAGCCCAAAAATCTTCCATGTTGACCGGGCCGATTGGAGAGCTCAAGACCTGTTCGAGTTCCTGCTGGGGAAGGAAGTCTTTTAAAACCTCAGTCTTCCACGATCTCTCCACCACATTGATCCAGCAGTCCACAGTTGCAGGGTAGGAGGTTTGTTGGGGAAAAAGGTTACCTGCTCTTCCTAGGAGCCATGGGTCCTGAAACGTTCGTGTAGACACTCTGTTACCAATTACCCGGATAATCCCTTGTGCCATTGTATTTCTTGCTTCCCAAAGGCTAGACCAAATCCAAGAGGCCTTTCCTCCTTTTTTAGCTTCAAGGAAGGTGGATCTAGGGAAATACAGCCCTTTGATCAGTCTGACCCAGATAGCCTCTGGATTGGTTAGAATTCTCCACGCTTGCTTAGCAAGAAGGGCCATGTTAAAATCATGAAAAGGACGAAAACCAAGGCCTCCTTCCCCCTTCGGTGCATAAAGAACACTGCCCTTAATCCAGTGAATGGTCTTCTTTGCGGTAGACCCTCCCCAAAAAAAAAACGTTTAAGCATGGAGTCCATCTTATTAGTAGTACCTTTCGGCAGAAGGAACAGGCACATGATGAATATTGGGATAGCTTGGAACACTGCTTTGATTAGAGTTTCTTTCCCTCCTGGGGAGAGGAGGAGGCTTTTCCAAGCTTCCCCCTTGCTTTCCATTCGTGAGATGAGGAAACCGAAAGTTTCCTTTTTTGATCTCCCCCATTCAGTGGGGACTCCCAGGTATTTGGAGTGGCAAAAGGATTTTTCAGCGAATCCAGTCGTTCTTCTGATCTCAGCTTGTTCCTCTCCGCTAACATTGTAACTGAAGAAGATCGAAGATTTATCTTTGTTGACCTCTTGCCCAGTGATGGCCCCATAGTCACCCAGAATATTCAGAATGTGGTTTGCCTCTTCTGTTGTAGCCTTACCAAAGATCACCGTGTCATCCGCAAACAAACAGTGTGTGAGATCAGGGCAGTGTTTATTGAGTTTCAATCCTCCAATATCACGGGAGATAGCTGATCTTTCAATGAGGAAAGAGAGAGCATTGGACATGAGAATGAAGAACAGAGGAGATAAAGGGTCTCCCTGTCTAAGTCCTCTAGTAGGCAGGAAACTAGCAGAGGGTTCTCCATTGAAGAGAACTTTGAAACTGACTGAACCAGTGCAGGCTCTCACCCATTTGCACCAGGTCTCACTGAAACCATAGGCCATAAGAAGCTCATTGAGAAAATCCCACTCCACAAGGTCATAAGCCTTCTTCATGTCGAGCTTCATCATCATATCCTTTCGGTTTCCCTTCTTGTGTTTTTTGAAATGGTTCAATACCTCGTGGACAATGATGATGTTATCCTGGATCTGTCTTCCCCCTGTGAAGGCAGACTGAAGCTCATTAACCAAGTTAGGTAACCATGGTTGGAGACGATTGGTCATAATTTTGGTGATGACTTTGTATTTGAAATTACAGCAGCTGATGGGACGATAATGTGAGATCAATTCTGGGGCATCCACCTTGGGGACGAGGGTGATGAAAGTGTTGTTCCAATCATTAGGCATATTGCTTGAAGCAAAAAAAACCCCTCACTTCATCGCATAGGGCATCACCAATTATGTTCCAGAATCACCAATTCTGTTCCAAAATTGCGGTAGAAGAAACCAGGGAACCCATCAGGGCCTGGTGCCTTGTTGGCCCCCAACTGGAACGTGGCTCTTCTGATTTCCTCATTAAACAATGGTGCTGTAAGGGCGTCATTCTGAGACGAGGAAACCAGAGAAGGGAACCCCTGCAAGATTGAGTGGTCAAAACCGGTCCCCCTGCTGGTGAAGAGCTTTTGGTAGAACTCAGTGGCCATCCCTCCCAGAGCCTCTTGCTTATCAACCCAGTCCCCATTATCGTTCTTGAGTTTTTCAATTCTGTTAGATATTCTTCTTTTGACAGTGCTGGCATGGAAAAAACCTGTATTTTGGTCACCCTCCTGGAGCCAAGAGTTGCGAGACCGTTGAGGCCAGAATTCTTCCTCCTTTAACCAGATGAGTTGGAGCTCATGTTGTAGTACTTTTTCTTCCTCGACCATTGCCTGCGATCTGTTAGGTCCCTGCAGGAGCTGAATGCTCTGTCTGATTTCACTTTCCCTTCGACACTTCTCAACTTTGTCATTCTTTGCCCAGACACTGAGCCTCTCTTGACAATTGGATAGGGTGTTGCTGATTGTTTCTCCTCTGTCAATCATATCCCAAATTATCTGACAGCAAGCCTCTTCATCCCTCCACCTTTTATCAAAGCGAAAAGGTGTGTTCACTCTGCTTCTTTTCGGGGATAAATCGATTCTGATCGGACAGTGGTCCGATTCGACAAAATCTTCATGAAAGAAAACCGCATTAGAGAATTCAATCCTCTAGGATGCAGAGCACAGGGCACGGTCTAGTCTCTCCCTAATTAAGTTGTCATCTTGCTGCTTGTTAGACCAAGTAAAAGGCTGACCCGAGAAACCCAGATCGATGAGAGCATTCCGCTCTATGAAGTACTTGAAGGGGGCTACATTCTCATTTCTTAAAGGGCAACACCCCTGCTTCTCAAAAGGCTCCATAGCCACATTAAGGTCTCCTACAATCAACCACTTTTCATCCTGGATCTCTCTGAGGTTCGTAAGTCGATCCCAGAGCATCCTTCTCTCTACCACCGTGGTAGGAGCATGGATGAAGGTACAAAAAAAACTACTTCCTTCACTGCAAATACAAACATCCACAAACGATTTACATGCATCCAAAATCCTAATAGAGACCTC